GCAGGAAACAGGGCCTGGTCCAGCTCATGGAGGTCCAGCTCACAGAGGATTCTCAGCAGATGTGGCAGGCCCCCAGTTTGCCCATTCCCCTTCCTCAGCGGTGCTCAGTCTTTTTAGGTCCCCTGCCCTAAGCTCACAGCCAAGGGCTCGACCCCGCGCACCCCCTCAGACACCAGCTGGCTTGGTCGCTGTCCTGCGTCCTCCCTCTCGGCTCCAGCCCTCACGTGGATCCCCGGTTGGTGCAGGGGGCCAGCTATGCACGCCCCCGGGAGACCACCAAGGTCCGGGCCTGCCTCTCTCTCCCCGCATACCCAGAATGAACTTGTTGCAGTCGCCTTGAGAAGAACAGAGGGGCCGATGCCGTCTGCACTCCGTCTGCTTCTGCAGGGACCGTCCTATTTATGGGCGTTTTCTGACAGCCCAGCACATCCTGGCTTGCTGAGGGCAGCGCCCTGTCCACCTGATTCTGTGCGGGCCACTTCACCCCAATAGCAGGCCCAGGGAGGCCCCCATGCCTCTGTGTCCTCAGCCGTGGCCTCTGATGACTTCCTGGGGGCAGACGAACCGCATCAGCTTTGTGGGAAGCCCGGCAGCACCAGGCAGGGGGCATCGGGGTGTAAAGATCTCAGTGTCTTCAACTTCCTTCCTTTGGTTTCTCAGCTCCACCATCTTCCTATTGAGGTGCATGACATCCTTGGAATGGCTCCAGGTCTTAAAGTGAGGGGTCCCAGAATCTCTCAATTTTCCCATGTGTCATGTGGCCTAAATTTTAAGTCAGATCACCCTGAACATACCCTCCAAGTTGCGTGTAAATCCACCCAAACATTCCCACGAGACGTGGTAACAGACCCAACAAAGATTCATTTTCGTTATACAGAAGATTCGCTATACAAAGATTCATTTTCGTTACACATTTCATTATACGTTGACAAATAACAGTGACCATTTATTCAAGACCTACTATGTGCACGGCACTGGGCCAGCTTCATGAGCAGTATGTTCAATCCTCACGCAGCCCTCTTTAGGGGAGGAATTATGATCTCCACTTTATAGAGGGGGAAACAGATCAGAGATGTGGAGTCACTCACCCAGGGTCACACAGCAGAGAGGAGAAGGGGGTGGCCTCCTCCAGGGCCCAGCTCTTAGCCTAAATAGAAATAAAGATGATCATAAACAGTCCCTTTATTTAATACCAAAAAAAAAAAAAAAAAAAGATCCATGCATTTTGTGTGTGTGCTTAACAAAGTATAATTTTGCCTGTGATAGCTACTAGAATTTCCTGGCTTTTCGAAAGTTTGCCTTAAGCTACTTTGCTTTTATGAAAGACCTACATTAGTACCTGTTTTTTTAACGGAAAGAAATCCAGAGAATTTCTGCTTTTACAAAAAAAGGGTGAAAAGCAAAAATCACGTTCAGTGTTCATTTTATGACGAGCCATGACAGTGGCGAGGTGAGCCCCAAGCAGCGAGTGGCGCCACCAAGTGCCTTCCGTGGGAACCACACTCAGTATCTCAGCATCAAGCGGCCGGAGCTTTGAACTGTGTCTGAGAGCATCTGTGCTTTATCTCCACTTCTTCTGTGCATCTGTGAGCAAGATGTGTCCTCAGGTAATTGCTGCTTCAATTTATGCCACTGCAGCTTAGGAAAGGTTTCAGAGGAACGCTCTGCTTTCGGATAGTGGAGGGGAACCTGTATTTAATGATTGCTGAATGAATAAAATAATGAGGGCAAAGGGGTAAATTGTTAACCAAGAGGGTTTTCTTTTGCTGTTGTTTGTTTTTAGTTAACATTCTCAAGTCAGCATAAAACCCAACCTCCTTGCATCCCTGGAGGTGTGGGTGACACCTGGGCTCTGGAAACAGGTGGACTTGTGTGACCTTGGGTGAGCGAATGAAGGTCAGAATCACAGCCTCTTCATCTGTAAATGGAGAAGCTTCTCTCTCCTCGAGCCATTGAGAGATCACGAAAGCAAAACACTCAGCACGGCGCTACCTTCTAGCTTTTAATCACTGAGGATCCTGCCTACTGTTGACAGTTCAAACCAAGAGGCTGCTTCCTTCTGGTGCCCATGGAAAGCAGAGTTGGTCTCAACCCCTTAACCTGGGATGCAGCCGCCACCTGCTGGGGATTTAAGGGGGGAAGACAGAGGTGCGACAGCCTATCAGGCCTGACTCCCCAACCCCCATCAGTTCCTTTAGGATCCTGAAGACCTACTATGTGCCCAGATTTCCTGGGCCACATTTCTTCAACCTAGAGTTCTCAGTCCTGGCCCTACTGCCATCTAGGGCCGGATCATTCTGTGCGATGGGGTGTGACGGCTGTCCTGCACAGTGTACAATGCTAAGCAGCATCCCTGGCCTCCACCCACTAGATGCCAGTAGCATCTCCCTTCCCTCCTTGTGATAACTAAAACAACATCTCCTGTCATTGCCAGATGTCGTGCGGGGCACACAATCCACCCAGCTGAGAGCCACTGCCTTTAACTTTTGCCCACTACTATCGCTGTCACCACCCCCATTCTGGAGAACCATGGGGGTTCAGAGATACCCCACCGCCAGGAGGAGGCAGAATGAGGACCCAACCCCACGTCGAACGGAGATCCTGCTTCGGCCCCCTTTCCCAGGACCCCTGCTGCGCCCTCCCTCCGTCTGGCCCCCAGCTCGGCACAGCGGAGAGACTGACTCAGCTGGGGACAGGCATGCATGCATGGGGGAGTCCATTCATTCACACACCGACACGCTGACGTCTCCAGTGCAGCTCGCGTCAAAGCTTTATTTGCTGTTTCCAGAGTCTGAATGCAACGTCTTTGTACATGCAAAGGTCATTTTGTTTTAGGGCAGTCGACCAGATTCCCAACTGCTCTGCTGTGCGTATGAAACCTCTTTACAGTTACAAAATAGAAAAGCACTGGTGGACATCCAATACTCCGTGAGGTCCGGGAAGCCCCGTTTGTTTTGATGTTAAAAATATAGGTTTCTCTAGATGAATTCTCAGTCACACGATTAGAGATCATTTCTGGGACTGGATAAAGTGCCGGTCGACCACCTTCTGTTCAGAACTCCCGGAGCCTGTGAATTCGTAAGGCAACTGCAAGGACACAACTGGCAGGACGCTTCAACGTTCTCGCACACAGGACTCGAGTTCCTTCTCGATCGTGACTCAAATGTCAGAGGAAGGGACCCAGAAGAAAGGTTAGGAAAATACATAGCGTACGTGTATATATTTCCACTCCCCCCTCCATCTTGCAAAGCATTTTGGGGCTCATAACCATCTGGGAAGTGCAGGACTTGTAGGACGTTGGTACGATTTAGGGAACGACACAGTACAAAATATCTTCAGTAACGCAACAGATGACTTTTGTGAGCCCCGTATTTACAGGATCTATAAGGCTATGTGGAATGAGCTCATTCTTTAGACAACGGCATCACGTTGTTTTTTTTTTAGCAGGTGTGATGCCACCGGAGATTGTTAAAACAGTGCCAGGCTGATTCATGGGAGGAGATGGTGTGGTGCCAGGTGTGAGGGTGACCGTTTGAGGAGATTCTGGGAGGTCAGCAGTGAGCGGCTGAGAGGTTACCTTGCTGGAAATCTCAGGCTGACTTTCCAGGAACCTGGCTTTCTGGCCCCCTCCCTGCAGGAACCAACCTAGACAAAAGAAAGAACTCTCTAGAGGGGTGACGGGGGCCAAAGGAGATACAGACCAAGACTCAGCGCATTCATGCCTACCCGTTTTCTACGCGGTTCTATGTTTCCAGACCCTCGACTTGCCCAGAATTCCAACAGGGTAACTCCTGGCAGCTTCTCAGCACAGGGCTCAGATCCATCACTCCCTAAGGGGGTGGGGCCCAAGGTGGACCCCCTTCCAGATGGGGGGCAGGTCCCCTCTCCCTTAAGTGGCTCCCTCCTACTCCATGGAATCACGATGCCATGGGGCTTTTTTTTTGCTTTCCCGTTTTATCACGTGTTGGAGGAGGAAAGGCACAGTCGGAGGTTATAGAAGGATTCTCCATCACTGTAGTGACTCGCCACGGCATAAATTGGAGGGGGCGCAATTCCCGGTGGATAGAGTTTTTCTCCCACCTCCCTGCAGACCTCACCCTGAAATGCCAGTTTACACAAAGACAACAAAGTCATCTAGCTTCCTGTATCAAGGGACAGGGCTGTGTGGGAGGGACCACAGGGATGGAGGAGGAGAGAGGGAGCGGCTGGCTTGAGAGTCCTCTCCTTGGGTGGGACGCTGTCTTCCACGCAGGCCCACGTCACCTTTAAGCAAGCATTTTGTTTTGGAGGTGATCCAATGACACATCTGTGGGTTTTCAGCTTTGTAACGACGCCTAGCTCCTGGGGCAGTCTGGGGGGTACCGTGATGAAAAATGTAAATGGACAAGGCAGCTGTCAGCACCAGGTGGGAGCAGCTGAGGTCTCCTTCAGGGAGGTCATGCCTAAGGTTTTTCCAAATCCCCTGCACAGCCTCTAAGGTTGAAGACCTCAGGCTCACCTCTATTCCGATACCTAGAGTTGGCCTCACTTCTTCCTGGGAAGCACAAGGGAAGTCACATTTGTCTGAAAGCACATGACTTTGCTCGTCCCCTGCAAAACCTCCCCATCTGATTGTCCTTTCCCCGAACCCCAGACAACGTGAGGCCGTCAGGGCAGCATCACTCAAAGCCCCCAACGTTCTAAACTCCACTGGGGTTTAGTGAGGCTTCCCCTCCACTGGAGTTTCTCTGGTGGTACCGAGAGATTCTCCACAACACTGATTTTTGAGGCCTCACCATGGAATTTCACAGGCCAAAGGCTTCTGTTACATTAGGCAAGAGACCACGAAGAAGGGGATGGACTGGAGGGGAAAAAGATATGGACTTATCGAAAGACCAGCTCTCAGAATGCTGATGTGCAAAGAGGGTGTGGGGGGATGGAGGGGGAGAGAGAGAGTGAGAGAGAGAGAGAGAGAGTATAACTTAAAAAATCACCTATCCATCCATCTTATTTTTGATGCTTTCTGTATAAAACTCTCATTTACAGAAAGCCAAAGGCCCAGGCGAGGAGACCTGGACGAGGGCGGGCGACCTGATTGCATACAGATGATTAAGGCATATTAAGTTAGTTTAAAAGGAGACCGATTTCCAAAGGCGGCTCCAGGCAAACTCAAGAAACTATCATACAACCCCTTGCTTAGCCCCCAAGAGCTCATCTGGTTTAGAAAGAGGAGAAATAAACAAGCCGTCTGCCAGGCTATCTGCAAAGGCTCTAAGCATCGGTTGCTGCGAACTTCATTGTACTGATCACAGCAGGAGCCAGGGCTTACGGGAGCCTGCACTGAGTAGGCCGCTCCTGGCCCACCGTGACTGTCTGCTCAGCGG